GATGATAATTATCCTGACTGGTATGGAATTCAACTGAAGTGTTCGATGTGATTTATCACCTACTCTATTTAATATCTTGGTCTAATACCCACCATACTATCATCATTCCAGACATCAGATTGGGCTGCTTGTCCTTGAAATGAGTCACTCCGTTGTTCATCCTGTATGCTGGCCTGATTGGAGCTGGCGGCCAAAGAGGGTTGGTCGTTATTCTGGAGTGAGGAATGCTCTGAATCTGTGGATGAAGGTAAATTAGGTGCTGGAATGGCATCTTCAAGAATCAAACATATCAAGTCCCCAGAAACAATCCCATATGAAGCCAAGGTCTCTTCATCTCCAGTAAGGGCATCCTTGTTGTTCAATGTAATTGCAAATCGGGTATCAGAACTGCCAAGAAAGATGGATAAGGATGGTAAGACCTTACCTATTCCCAGTACCCTCAATAATACATTTGGAACATATATAAGGTGCATGGTATGAGACTAGAAGAACTTAGTAACGAAAATCAGGAGGCTAAACTTTTGAGAAAATTATCAAAATTTTTTGTTCTTATTACCAAATGCCTAGTTTATAGATTTCTAATGGCTAAAACCATAGCCTAGGGGATAGGATACAGTAATTCTCTATCATTAACCAACATTTTCATTAATTCTAAGAGACACACTTTCTTTATATTTTGACACATTTGAAATTGGGATGCCTCTTAAAATCCATGACATAGTTTAACTGATAGCATTTTCCCCTCAGTGTTACATAAAACAATGTGTGTATTACAAGTATAGCAACTAAGATTCAGTGAAATATCCTTTTAAAAAATATAAATTAGATATAAAAATCATTCTGCTTAAAACCCTACAATGACTTCTATTTGAACTTGAAATAGAATCCTTAACGTAGCCTTGAGAAGCCCAACATTTGACCCCTTCTCACTTCTCCACCCGCATCTTGTGTCATCCATCCTCTCCCTCGCTGTTCTCTGTTCACATGAGCTTTCCATCTGTCCTAAAACGTAGATCACTTTCATTGCAGCCTTTGGGCCTCTCCATTTGCTCTTCCAGATCTTCAAATGACTGACTTTTCTGCATCATTCAGGTCTCAGCTCAAATGTCGCCTCTTCAGAGACGCCTTCCACTTAGACTCCAGCACTCTCTATTCCACTCTCATGTTTTATTCCAATACCACTATTTTAAAACATATTTATTTTTCTATTATCTGTCTACCCTATCCCTACCGCTAGAACTTAAGTTTAATAAAATCAGGTATCTTGTCTGCCCAGTTCAAAACTGTATCCCCAGCATTTAGCAAATACAATATTTGTGAAATAAATGCAAACATTAGTTGGGAAGATCAAGAGGAAAGTGTAATCTGGGCTGCCTATTCAATTTCCTTACAGGACAGTTTGCTTACATTGTTTCCAAAATATTCATGTCCTAAATGAATATTCATAAATGCAAAAAGTTGGATGAGTGTGTGTATATGGCTAAGTACAAATTCATCCCTCGTACTAATGATGATGACCAGTACAAGTTTACTGGTCCTACTAATGATCAGTTATAATATCTTTATATGGAACATAGCACAAACCCCAAAACCCACTGTTAAACAGGCTCAGAGTTCAAATAAGCCTGAAGCAATCGACTCCCATCTTTTCTGCTTCGCAGATTATTTGACCTTGGAAGAATATCATTGGTTTTTCATCATAGTGGTGATGAATAATTACCAAAACATTATAACACTTTCTTTAAGATATTTACACTCAGCAATGCTAATTTCATTATTTTTTGAGAGGCTAACAAAAGATGAAGTCCCTTGAAAACCATGTTCTGCTTACTTTTCCTCACTGTGCTGCATTTTGAAAAGTGTTCTAAATATTCATTTGTTTTTATTTCACTTGTAAATTTTTTTTTTTTACTAATTAAAGTGTCTTTGGTAGGGAAGTTACTGAAGTAAAAACTACTCGTGTCTATTAGAAAATAAGTAGCCCCACTTCTGTTTTCAAAGTGCTTTGATAAACAAAATGTTGAAAATCTGCCAGCTGCCCACAAAAACACCATCCTAACTTTGGCAGAATTAGGAAAAACACCTCAAATGAACTATGTATTTACAGATCATTTGTCATAGCAAAAGGTTGACTTTTTAAACAGCATCTAGTACAATATGCATTCAAATACCTATTTGTAGAAAAGGTAAAGAATAGTCTGCTTAATAAAAATGTCAGCTTTCCCTCCCACTTTAGAAAAAGGGAAGAGCTATTTCTAACGCAATAAGTAGTTTTCCAAGGTTCTATTTTCCAAAATTGGGGGTGGGGGCCATGGAGGGTGGTATTTAACTTTACCAGGAAATGAAATTCTAGAAACCTCAGTCTTTTAAAAAATATTTTATGGCAATCCTAGATCCATGTGCTCAGTAAAGGTGTTTTAAAAATAACAATATATAGATGCATTTCAAAACTCTTCATTTATAAGAAAATGAACATACTTTCAGAACAAATGAATTTACTTTCACATTCTAAAGCTTAAATTCCTTCCAGTTAACAGCCTCAACTGTAAAAGCAAACCTGAAAGAGAAACTAACTTGGGCTCTTGGGCAGTCATATTGAGTTTCACATATCCTTTCAAGACAGTCCTGCCTAATTAAAAAATAACACACACATACAGAGAAACACCTTTAAAAAAGTTAATTTTTAAGATTTATGGCAGGGTAACGATGCCAGCATGTAAAACACTCACATTTAACATCAAGAAATAACAATGGGCATGTCACTATGTTTAAGAGGACTTATGTCAATATCTCGTTTTAGTTTTGGTTTTTATTTTTTAATCTGGAAGAAAATGGATTTACTCTCAATCTAATACTGTCTTAACCTGAAATATTATAGGGTGGGAAATTCAGAATCTGACCTCATTTTACTGAATTCCCTAAAAATAAAGTTCAAGTGTATAATTATTAGCTGAGCCAATTAGCAGAAAGGTTTTCTTTTTGTTTTGAAGAAGTCACCTAAAAAGCTCTAGGGAAATTCTTTTTTCTTTTTCCTTTGCACACTCCTTTGCACATTCAGATTCACTAGCTCACTCTTTGAAGAGGACATTGCCCCTCTAATCCCAGGTTATTGTCTTCAGAAAATATCTTCTGGGGAAACAAAGCAGCTTCATTTGCAGTCCCATAAATTAATAACAGAATGTGATCCTGTCTCAGCTGCACTGCCTCCTACACAGTAAGTTCTCCAGGGTCATCACAGGCCAACGTTTATCTCAGTTTTAGCAAAAAAAGCGACATTTCGCCCAAGAAAATCAAATGATCTGAAACACGCCTACATGCTTTATTTTCTAAAACTTGGCGGTGGGTAACTCACAGTGCTCACCGCGGTGCCTGGCACTTGCACACTCACTGGGGGCTTAAAATTACTGCCGCCGTGGGGCAGAGGTCCAAGTTATTGGTGGTCTCGGATGGAGGGCGGGTTTTTAACTTCTAGTACTTTCCAAACTTTTTCACTGAAATGCTTCAACAGCTTAAGAAGGTGAACTTATACCTTCCGGACCCCGACAGTCCGGAAAGGTTTGACCCAAAGCAAGCTCACAAATTCCAACTGGACGGTTAACCAGTCGTGTCAATTCCCTCCTCCCCCTGGTTTCCTCCGCTGCAAAAGCACCAGCGACCACTCACCCGGGAGCGGAGCGTTGCCCCAGGGAGGCTGGGCCATGTCCTCAGGGCGCCGGGCCTGGCTGCCCACGGCGCGTCACAGCCACCGGCGCCCTGGGGCCGGCGACGCCCCAGAGAGCCCAGCCTCACGTGACGGCCCCGCACCCGGCCACGCCCGCGCCCACGTCGCGCAGACGGCCCCACGCCGAGGCGCCCCTCTCCCGCGGTGCACCCCCGCCGCGGCCCCCCGCGTACCTGTACCCCCAGGTGGGCAGCAGGGCCTCGGTCAGGTGCGCGCGCAGCTGCCCCAGGGTCGGCTCCGCTTCGGGCATCTCCAGCGGCCAGGTCCGCCTCTGAAGCCGCACGCGCAGCCTCATGGCGGCGGCGGGAGGGCCGAGGGGCCCGGAGCGGCGACCACGGGAGTTGAGGGGGTGCCGAGATGTAACGCGGAAAAGGCCCGGCCGCGGCGGCCGCCCTGCCGGCCTGTCTCTGGAACAGGAGCGCTCCGCCGCTCTCGTGAGGGCGCCCCCTACAGCCGACCCGGCGAGCGGGTGGCTGGCGGCCGGCGGGGAGCCGGGCCGCTCGGGGGCCTCAGTTCGACGACTCGGCGCGCAACGGCGCTGCCTGAACGGCGAGGACCACACTGCGCAGGCGCCGGGCCCCGGCGGGGCACTGGTGTCCCCGCTAGTCCGCTACGGTGGCTGCGGCGCCTCCTTCCCCCAGTGTGCCTTCCCCCCGTGTGCCTGCAAGAACCGTAGCGCTGAAAGGGGTGCTGCAGACGGACAATACAGTCGCCCCCTCCGAGGACTCCGTGTTACCCCATTTCTCCGTGGCCCCCGGCCCCAGCGGCATCTGCTCTGGGAAGGCTTCGGTTAAGCAGCCCTGGGTTGAGCACGGGCTCCGGTAGTCTCCGACTGTTACAGCAGAATGCTGAACAGCCAGCAGGCAGTGATCTGTGTCGGACAGTGTATTCGAAATCTGTTGCTGCGTAACAGTCACCCCAAGGCTTAACGGCTTGAAGCAGTAAACATTTATTGTCCCATAAATAAATGGGTTCCATAGGCCAGGAGTTTGGGGGTGGCGGAGCTGGACTGGTGCCTCAGGGTCTCGCGAGAGTACAGTCAAGGTGTAGCCAGGGCTGCAGTCACCTTCTGCGTCTTGGCTCGGCTGGAGGATCGGCTTCCAAAGTGGCTCACTCCCACGACTGTTGGCAAGAGGCCTCAGTTTTTTACTATAGTAGCCCCATACTTGAGTGTCCCCATGACATAGCAGCTGGCTTCCCTCAGAGCGAGTGATCCAACAGAGAGACCCAGGCAAAAGCCACAATGTGTTTTATGATCTACCCTCAGAAGTCACCTACCTTTGTTTCTGTCATGTTCTACTGGTTACAAAGCAGCCCTTCTGTGTGGGAGGATCAACCTAAAGGCAGGAACACCGATAGACGCGGGTCCCTGGGGGCCGTTCTGAAGGCTGGCTACTATGGAAGGTCTGACAGTAAAAACTTGGATGAGGGAGAGAGTATCCTCACATCCATCCTTGTGTGGTAACCATTGTCTGCATCACTATAGGAGAGTTGAATCCCAGTAGGGATTTATCCCAGTAGGTGGCAGCACTTGTCCACATCCTGCCCTTCACTCAAGCATGTATAGACTGCCTACTTTGTGACAGATCCTACAGGCTGGATACTCAAAGACCAAAAAGACATGTTCCTGCCCATGCAGAGTTTACAGCTGAGTGAATCAACTCTTGCAGTGGACTGTAAGAAGTGTCTCATTTATGATGGGGATAAATACAGACCTGGGGATTGGGGTACATAGAGGAGGGTTGCTGTGCCAGTAGAATTCTTTAGTAGTGAGCAATATGGGATTGAGGAAGGATGACTCTGTGTGACCAGAGTGAAAGACAGAGTGGATACACCCCGTTTTAAGAAGAGCCTTGGACTAAGCAAAGGGTTTGGAACACATTCTAGAATGTATGGGAAGCCACTGGAGAGTTTTAAGAAGGGGAGTCTCTGCTATGAGGGTTCTTAGTTCTGAGCAATAGACGCTGTCTCTGGCTGACTAAGCAGAAAAGGTGTATATTAAAAGGATACTGTATAGCTCAGGGAATTCTAGGGAGGACTGGAGAAGTGGCCTTAGCTAAAGCTTCTGCGAATGAAGCTGAGAACCTAGCTGAAGAACTGGCCTGATAAGGAAACTATCACACTGAGATTGCTACTACCTCCCCACCCTACACTGGAGAAAACTGCTGTCACCACTGCCAGGAACCACTGGGGAATGACAGCCACTGTTACCATCAAATGCTCTACATGCTTTTGCAGCCCCCTGCAAAATGCCAAACTTTGATAAGAGCCTTTTTCTTGATTTTGCTCACTTGCAAATCAAAGGCTCATGGGGTGGACTTGATTGAGGGAGTCTGGATCCCCTAACTGAGTCCTAGCTACAAAGGAGACTGGGAATTGGAGTCTGAACTCCCTTGGGGAGGCAGGACTCATAATATTGGAATTTTCCCCCAAATAAAGGGAAATCTGTTCAAAAGATGATAGGAAGCCATGAATCTGACAGGGATACACCACTAGGGTCATAATCAGATCTGTAATGTGAAATCTGTCACTGGAGATTGTGATAGAATGAGAGGGATAGATTAGATCGGGATTTCTCCATCTCAGCACTGTTGACATTTTAGGCTACAAAAGTTTTTGTTGTGGGGGACGATTCTGTACATCAGGAGTTCTCAAACTTTTTAAACAGGGGGCCAGTTCACTGTCCTTCAGACCGTTGGAGGGCGAATTGGAGAGTGTGGCACACATTCCACACATGCGCACTGTGGGCCCGGGATGAGTCAGCTACTAAGTAGGACAGGCAGCGGTGGCAAAAACACCTGGCGGGCCGGATAAATGTCCTCGGCCCGCAGGCCACCGTTTGAGGACCCCTGCTGTACATTGTAGGATGTTTAGCAGCATCCCTAGTCTCTATCCACAAAATGCCAGTAGAACCCTCTCCCTCCCCAGTTATAAGAACCAAAGATTTGTCAAATCTTTGTTAAATATCCCCTGGCAGGAAAAATCACCTTGAGAAGCACTGTATTAGAGACCATCTCAGTTAGGAGGCTCTTCTGGTAACTGAGAGAAGAAAGAAATTAGTGGCATGACAGTGGATGGAGATAATTGGTGGGCAAGGACGATGTTATAAAGTAGAAATAGTAGAACTTGAAAAATGACTCTGCAGTATTTGGAAGCTGTATTAGGTTAGCTTCAGTTGCTCAAACAGAAATCCCATATAGCAGTGATCTAAACAAAATAAAAGTTTCTCTCTGAAATAGCACTCTTGGATAAAGCAGCGCAAAGCTCATGTGGTGGCCATCTTTGGAGGCCATCTCCCCCAGTCTGCCTCTGAGAACTACGTAAACCTGCAGAGGTTGCCATCTACAAGAATGATAGTGGTAAGGAGAATATGTCAGGCAGGTGTGTTGTAAAGATTCACACCTGTCTTTTTTGTTTGTTAAGCCACTAAGTTTATAATACTTTGTTATAGAGATAGTAGAAAAGTATTAACAATACACCTGGGGTCCTTTTCGCAATCCTTTGCCTAACAGGGCGTAACTGCAGGAATGGCGGAAGTAGCCCAACCACAGCAGTGTGGGAGGATCCTGGAAGAGAACCGAGCATCCCCAGACACTGCCAAGTTTTAAGGTAGTCTGGGGGACAGTCCTCCAAACCCTCAAAGGTCCATGAGAATATTACACACCTCTTCTCTCAGCTATCTCCCTTCCTGAGAATTTTTTTTCCTTTCGCAGAATGCCACCTTAATGTGTCTGTAGGCAATGAGCCTGCAACTTTCAAAGAGCTCAGAAATTTAATTTTTTTGAAAAAAAAAAAATGGACCATTTTATAGAATACTGCAAAGAGATGATGTCACTATCTTGTGGGAATTCATTCATTGGCTCCCTTTAGGTGTTTTTTTATTGTAAGTAAAATTTTAATTTTAGAACAGTTTTAGATTTATAGAATTATTTCAGAGAGTTCCCATAAACACACACCCAGTGTTCCTTTATGATACACTTGCCACAAATTAATGAATCAACATTGATACATTTTTGTTAACTAAAGTCCATACTTTATTGAGATTTCTTTAGTTTTTTTTCCAATGTTCTTTTTCTGTTTCAAGATACCATACAGGATATCACATTACCTTTAGTGGTCATGTTTCCTTAGGCTCCTCTTGATTGTAATAGTTTCTTATATTTTTTTTTATTTTTTAATGAGACAGAGTCTTGTGCTCTCTTGTGCAGGCTAGAGTGCAGTGGTGCGATCACAGCTCACTACAACCTAAAACTCCCAGGCTCAAGTGATCCTCCTGCCTGAGCCTCTTGAGTAGCTGGGACTACAAGCATATGCCACCACACCCATCTTATTCTTTATGTTTTTGTACAGACAGGGATCTCACTATGTTGCTCAGGCTGGTCTTAAACTCCTGGTCTCAAATGATCCTCCCACCTAAAGGCCTTCCAAAGTGCTGGGATTACAGGCATGAGCCACTGCATTCCCCACCTGTTCATATCTTTTACTCCATTTTTAATTGGGCTTTTGTTTCCTTATTGTTGATTCTCTTTTAGTTTTTTAACTATTATTCAAATATCTTTCTTCATTATTCCCCACTGTCAATTTTACCTTTCCATATCTATGGGAGGTGGGGTGATGTAGTCATCAAGCTACTTCCTGCTGAATTGGTATGATGTTTTAGATGGTAGGTACAGATTCTCAGGTTACAAAGGGCACAGGCAATAACTATAACCGTGAGGACTGACAAGACAAAATGAACTGTCACCTTGCACACAATATCCAATACAGGATTGGGTTAGAAAAGAAACATGGGATCTTTGAGAGCAGAGCTATCAGTTGTACCCTGTAGGTGATCTGAGAGACCAGTTTCTGCAAATTCAGAAATCATGTACAGAAATACTTGTAACAAATGAGGTTTAGGATGACACACCCAGCAGCAAGATGGATCAACCGAAAAGGCAATAGCTCAGGGAAATCCTCACTAAGGAGTTGTTCCTTTAATTTTGGTATGATGGACCCATGAAGAGCTGTTTAAACCATAGACTTCTGGGTCCCACCTGCAGAGTTTCTACCTTAGCAGGCCTAGCGAGGGACTTGAGAATTTGTGTTTCTAATAATTACCAGGTGATGCTGATGCTGCAGTGAAACCACACTTTGAGAACCACTGGTCTATACTACGTGGTCTTGCTGTGGTTACTCTTTTATATGCTTATAAATAAATGACTTTGAGATAACTGTGCCTGGTCAGAAATTGAAATGGGCCTTTAAAAAATGTTTGAGGGGAAAATAGAACCATGCAAATTAGAAAAAGAATCCCGAGAAGTTGTTGAAATGATTAAAACCCTATCCATGGACCAAATGCAGATGTCTGGAACGCATTGAGAGAAATAATCAAGATACAGTTCTTGGAAAGTGAACTACAAGGTATATAAGAGACAGGTATATAAGACAGGTATATAACTCCAGGTATATAAGAGACAGAGTAAGGATGGGGTGGTTTAGAATTCTCACAATTTGATCTGTAAACTTTAGTATTATTTGAGTCTTTTATATCTTTTATCACAAGAATGTATTCACATACTTATTGGGCAGTGAAGAAAAATGATGTTAGGAATGTTAGCATCCACTCCTCAAAAAAAATGCTATTTCCTACTAAAAGGACTAGATAGAATACTTTAATATACTTTATTTCAGTATCTCTCAACCGCGGTGCCTTTTCCTGCCAGGGGACATCTGACATAGTCTGGAAACACTTTTGTCACAGTGGGGTAGGAGGGCGTGGTGCCACTGGCATATAACAGGTTGAGGTAGGCTGCTGCTAAACCTTCTACAATGCACAGGACAGGCCCCCATAGTACAGAATTATGTACCCCAAAATGTCAGTAGGGCTAAGAGGAGAAATCTATTTGAATTAGGCTCATACCAGTGATTCCCAGATGTTTCAGAGTAACATCACACTATTTTATCGGTTTGATTCCAAAATATCCCTCATGTCTCATAAAAATCATACATATGTGCATTTAAAATTTAGCAAAAATTTAAGCTCATTTTGAACTGCAATCATAAAATGTGACTCCCTTTTAGGTAACTAATAATGATAGAAGGGACTAGGCGAGTGGGTTTGTTTGCTTTTTTAAGCCAAGAGGGAGTCACTGCTGTAAACTGTTCCAGAGTGTGACTGGCAGGAGAGGCCATGGTCTGAGTCAGTCACTGGTGTCCACCCAGAAATGTCATCACACAGACATCAAGGAACTGTGGCCCAGGACAGAGCAGGAAGGAGAAGGGGAGCTACTACTGGGATAGGATGATTCTGCCAGACTTCTCAGCCCTCCCAGAGTAAACTGTAGGGTCACTCACCTCTCTCCAGGACCACAAGAATTCCAGGTCTCCTCTGGTTAGGAATAAACTGGTGGTTTCAAACGAATACATAAATCTGTATTACTCACACAGATTCAGTTAGCAGCTCAGAAATACACATGGGTTGCCTAGCAACGGCATCCTTCCCTCTCCCCACATTCCACATCCCCTGGGCTGTGGGTTGCCCTTTAGTAACCTTCCTAAAAGGGTAGCCTCGGATAGTGGCTAAGAGGGTGGACTTCTGGGAGCAGAGCACCTGGGTCCTGAATCCTGGCTCCATGACTTACTAGCTGTGAAACCTAAGCTCAAGCAAGTTACCCCACCTATCAAATGGAAATAATATTAGTTCCTCATACAATCTTGGTGGGAATTTAATGAGTCAATATGTGGGTGATGCCCAGAGCATAACAAATGCTCAATAAATATTAGCTTTTATTTTTCTCTACCTTTTGTATCCCTCTTTAGGATTGCCCTTCAACCAGATTTCACCAACACGAATGTTGAGGGGTCATGAGGTCTGGAAGCTTGTGATGTCTTTTGCACCAAAAGTGCCTTACCTGGCCATGTACACATAATTCTTGTCCCCTCTCACTTTTGTCTCCTACAAAGAACAACATAATTTTTCTTCTGAGCTGAAAACAAGTTTGACCTTCAGGTACCTCCTTTCTACATGGGAATAGCCCAGACATTCTAGAAACCAAGAACTGAGATGCTCATTTCCCTAACACTGTCTCTTAACATCTTTCTTTAATGAAAAAGTATTTCTACTTAGTTAATTATGATTTTTCTTTTGGAGTTTTAATTAAGAGTGTCTCTTGCTCTGCAAAGATTAATACACTGTTAGCTATTCGACTGTGTAGTAATTAATCTTGCATCCTAGATTGCCATTGTGAGTAGGCTGAATAGGAAGGACTATCCAACAAATCTTCAGTTAAATATGGAAATCTAAAATAAACAAGGAAACTGGATAGAGTACTGCTGGCTTTTGTTGTTGTTGTTCTTAGTGATGAACTTGGCAAATTTGCCCTGAAATGATTCCTTAAATAGAAAAGAAGGCTAATTAGGTGATTTCTAAAGCCCCTTCCAAATAAAAAAAAACAAACTAGCTATACTCTCATCTTAGATCTTTGTTTCCTAAACTCTGATTACTTGAGCCTTTTTTTCAAAAACGATTCTATGTCCCCTGTGAGCTGTACTGTTATTTGTTTTATTTCCATCAATCAACCCACTTCTTAAAATCTATATGTTTGTTTAAAAGGGAGAAGTTATATAAAGGGGAAACTTCCATTAATTTCCAAATAGAGGATAACTGTAATAAACAAATTCAATGAAAACTAAATGTTGTATATTTCTTAAAAATAAAAGTTGTTTGAAATATCATTTTAGTTATTAATTTCAAATAAAAATAGATGAAATGCAAGTAATATGCATCTTATTGTCACTGTATGAAAAACTTAATAGGTGCTACCTCCTTTAAAATAATTCTCACAACCTCCTTTTTTGTTTTTTGTTTGTTTGTTTGTTTTTTGAAAGAATGTCTTGCTCTGTTGCCTGAGCTAGAGTGCAGTGGTGTCATCGTAGCTCATTGCAACCTTAAACTCCTGGGCTCAAACAATCCTCCTGCCTCAGCCTTTGAAGTAGCTGGGACTACAGGTGCACACCACCACGACTGGCTAATTTTTTAATTTTTGTAGAGATGAGGCCTCACTATATGGCCCAGGCTGGTCTCAAACTCCTGGGCTAAAGCCATCCTCCCTCCTTAGCCTCCCAAAGTGTTGAGATTACAGGAGTGAGCCAGTGTTGAGATTACAGGAGTGAGCCACTGTGCCCAGACTCACAACTATTCAAAGTAAATGTGAGCTCCACTTGCAGAGATGATGGCTCTGAGACCCAGAAGAGTGAAGCAAATTGCCCAAAGTCTCAGAGCTGGGATGGGTAGGGCAGGTCCTGGTCCAGGGGAGGCAAAAACCCTCAGGACAAGTCTCCCTGTTTTGTATTACTCTATCATTCATTGAAATCATCCTCCCTGAGAACTCTCCCCAAACCTGTGGCAGAACCCAGGATACAAAACAGTGACTCTGGGGTTTTCACCAAGATATGGTTAGACTTGCAGGTCTTTTGTAATAGGAAGTAAAAGTATTTGCATTAGGAAAGACACTGTTATCTTACAGTTTTCATCTTCCTTCCAAGACTAGTTCTTCCTAAGCAGCTGGTTAATGGGTGTGAGATGCATATAAGAGGCTGGATGAGATCTAATCTTTCTGACAGAGAAAAGGAATTGAGAGGTGGAGGACAGTGAGGGTGAGACCCAAGGGTCATCCAGCTAGACCCAAGAAGCTGCTATGGAGAGGAGAGATAGGAAAGAGGAGACCTAGAACCACAGAGACAGGAAGAGAGGCGGGCAGGGTGCAACCCAGGGAAGAAACTGAGAAAAAGATGGAAATATTTAGAGGTATTAATATTTTGTGAATTTTTTCCATAGGATGTGTGATGTCGTTCATCTTCTACTATGCATGGTTCTGTATTTTTTCTAATGCACTAAAAATAATCACAGTACAATTTCAAGTGTTTACCTGCATAGCACCTGAAGTTATTAATACCTCTCATACCTTCAGCAGGACGTGCACCATAGGAAACTCATTTACTTCTGTGGCTTTAGCTCCACCTCTAAAGTGATGACTTGGACATCCATATTTCTAGCTGACCTCTTCCCTGAACCCCAGCTACCCACCTGACATCACCATTTAGATATCCAGTACGATTATTTCTGCCCCCATTCCATTCTAGACATACTGGCCCACCGTTGCTGTTCCCTTCGCCCTTTGCCTTCCGTGCTTTGCCTCCCTGACTTCTAATAGTCAGATCTTAGCTCAAATATCACCTCCTCAGAGAAGCCTGCCTGGAATTCCTAACAAAGTAAGCCCACCTCCCCCAGTTATATCACCCCACCAATTACAAGACCACCCCACCAAAAACATTCCCTTATTTCCTTCATAGTACAGGTCACAATCTATACATTTTTGTTTGTTGTGTTGTTTGCTTGGTTATCTTGTCTCCATCTCCTAAATCATAAACTCCATGTGGACAGAGATTCTCTTGTTTGCTGATGAGGACTTTGCATATAGTAGGTGTTCAATAAATATTTGTTGATTGAATGGACTAATTTATGCTGACTAATAATAAATGATTCTATGAAGAGAGTGTCTGCAGGTTCATATCACCATTGATGTAGCCACATACTAATGAGTAAAATGTTACAGCACTTTACAGTTTTAATAGCACATTCTCATATGTTATCAATGTTTTTCTTCACCAGAACCTATCAAGGAAGATATTATTTTTATCCTCATTTTACCCCTAAGGAAACTCAGTTCAAATAGGCAAATATAACTCAAAGTATAACTCACCTGAAAAGCTGTCGAAAGTATGGGCAATGCCAAGTGAATGTGCCTGTTGTTCCTTCTAAACTGACCAATCCTCCTGATTTGCCCAGGACTGTTCTGATTTTAGTACTGAAAATCCTGCATTCTGGGAAAACCAGGACAGTTGGTCACCCTGTCTTACCCAGAGAGTTGTAGGTAAGACATAAGACACTTCATACAACCAGATCTCTGGCCATCCAAAAGGCATGGGCTAAAATTCATTTATAGGAGATAGGAGCAGGGATGGGGTTTAGAATCTAAAGATATTAAGTTATGTAAGAGTTGATGGATCCGCCCAACTTACTTCAAAGGAATGCTGGGACAGGAAGTCATCAATAACATTCTGAAAAGGAGCAAACATTATCAGATGCCTGAACGATAAAGATGGTAACTAGGTCAGCCTGGTTATCAAGCCTCATGCTTTCAGACTGAATGTGATGATCCATCAAAAGTCCAAAGGTATTCTGGCAGGAGTGGAGCCATCATGGCAGGCACCCTGACCAGAAGAAACCAGAAGGCACTTATTATCCCAGAAAAAAAATTTCTTTCTCTTCCAATTCAATGTAACAATACCTTTATCAATACACTGGTCCTAATCATTTTGGTAAAGTAGCCATGACAATTTTGCAAGTGTGGTGTGTGTGTGTGTATGTGTGTGTGTTTTGTAGGGAGGTAATTATTGCCTAGGTGGCATTGTCTGTTCATCTAGGTAGAGACTGTAGTGTTCATTCATACCATTGGGTAATTGCAGTGAAGCAATTGTGTATCACATTTTGAAAGAGGCATTTAAAAAAAACCCACTGCTGAGATGATTCAGACTTAATTATCTTTGCTTTTCGGCAGCTGAGTTCAAGGCGCAAGGTGGAGAACACGTCGGCTTCAAAAGCAGAAGGAAGCAAAGGTTGTTCCTCAGCTGTGGCTACATCTTCTGCTTGAGGTAAGACTCAGGAACGAACTACAGGGCTCTGCCAGTGCATGCTCTCCAAACAGGGATCTCTCACTGGAGATGCCCCAGCTCTGGCAGAACCCTGAACCTTCAGCCGTCACATATCCTGGGGGTTTATTACTGTCTGCTGAGGGTTTTCTGTGTTTCATTCATTCGTTTGTTTGATGTCACGCATGCCCACTGTGATGCTTCTTAGGCAAGAGGTTAGTGAATACTGAACCGCTCTAAGAAAGACAAAGGAGTTGGTCTGGACCACATATTTAGTTTTGCATCCTGGAGCAAAGTTAAGATGATTGCTCAGTGGTCTGGACTTATTTTTGCCTCCGTTTCAGAGAAGAACCTAGCACAATGGCAGAAAATCCTGTCTCATCTCTTGGTCAGTGTGGGGAAGACTAAGAAGCTGTGACGATCCAGAGGCTTTGGAGGCAGATCTCAGACCACATCCGTGACCTAGATCCCCTCAGAGCAAAACTACCCTCCCACTTGCCTGAATCGTTGAGCTTGTTGGTGTGAAGCCTGGAGTTTTGGGAGGAAAGATGCAGCAGGAGTTGTCAAGGTCCTTTGTCACTGGAAATCTTGCCATAAAATCAGATGTATGGGCTGAGTCCCTTGAAATATTCCCCGATTCTGCCCATATTCCATACTTAACTCATTTAAACTTCTTATGTACATTTTGCCTTAGCCAGTATGTCAGAATACTCATATTCTAGACATCTTTAAGCCTGTTGAACTTAGCTTTTCAACCTGTGCCTAAGTTTCGAAGGCTGCCTTTCACTCACTCTTCACTCCCTGGAGCAGTTTTTCCAGAGTCTGTCAAAGCTCTCGCCCAGGAGCAGTCGAGGTAAGCCAAGCTGTGGGTTTCAGGAATGTTCTAAATTGGATTGGCATTTTCTTATTCCCAGTCATCAGAATGGCTCAGACGAGGACCATTGGATTTAGGGGCGTTGTTCTGTCTGTAATGTTGGTATGGAAACAAAACGACTACTGAGGTTTTGAACCCTGGAAAGAAGCAACTCCTCAGAAGTAACAAGATAGGTAACTTGCTGGCAGGGTTTTTAAGTCATCTTGGAGGCTTTCCTTTAACAGGCAGCCAGCCCTGCCCTCGCTTGTCAGCCAAATTACTTAACCTTTTAGTAGTCATCACCTTGCTTGACAAGGTTCTTTCCTCCCCTGCCCATAAATTATCATCCTAACCAAACAATTGAACTGAAAGTTGTGTCCAACCCATCCCTTTGTACCCCAGTCATTTCCTCCACTCATAGAATTTCTAGAGGAAAAATATGTTTTTCTATCTGCAATTTGGGTTCCTGGATCATCATCAAAGTATACCACTTCAGAAACTTCCTTTATCCAAGAAGGGAAAACAGGTTTTGCTGCTGGAAGGGAATTTAAAACTCCACTTGTGCCCAAGAAAATACAAAAGGATTTGCACTTTGATGCTTAAGAATTTCCAGATGCTTATTGAATTTTTTCACATTGAAAATGGCATCAAGCAACTCCTATTTAAAATTCCCAGAAGAAAATGAAAAACCTTTTCATTCAATGAAAAGAAATTCATAAACACTAGGATTCGGAGCCAGAAGAATAAGGTTTGATTCCCAGGTGCCTGATTTACTTGGGATCCTGGACAAGTCATCCAGATTCTCTAAGCCTCCACGTGTCTGAACTGGGGGTAAGATCATAATAATATCTACCTCAAAGAATTATGAGTTTTGTAAATGGTAAAGAAGTATAAATTTATCATTCCAGTTGTTATCCTATTCATGAGTAATATCTCTGTTTTGGTTTATTATGCTTTTTCACTGTGGAAACAGAGAACTCTATATATGATGGTTTAGTTTTTCATTTTTTTTTCCAACCTTTCCTAGAACTTTTCTTAGTTAACCAGAATTTTGTGAGCCTATTCAGTTGGTCAGTTAGCAACACATTGATTGAGGTCCTACTATGTACCAGGCAGAGACGTCCTTTCTGCCTTAATATCCATACAGTCTAATAGGTACAGACATTTTCGTATAATATCCTTTCCCATTGCTATCCACTGCTATAAAAATATTTTGTTTTAAAAAAAAAATCCCTCTGCTGCATGCTTTGGTATGACACATCCATTTGTAATTCTTTGCCTATAGTGATATTAGCATGACTGTATATTAGTATGGCCTCGCCATTTGTTAAAATATACAAATGCTTCTATGTTGCTTGGTAAATAGCCACTGACCTGAGCCCCAGGAGTATTCCTCTCATTCCTGTAGTCCCACCCATCTCAGCCTCTTCCCCTCTCCAGGACCCATTGACCATCCCCCGGGGCAGCTAAAGGATCAAGGAAGGCCCAGCACAGCAGGAAACCCACTGGACCTAGTCCTGCAGGAGGGACTTGCATCCATTCTGATATAAGATGCCATTACCGTCACCCTGCCTGCAGGACACAGAGGGCTTCACATGGCCCTCTCCCACTACTCACATTTCCACTGGTCATTGCTCATTGCTTGGCTAGAGACCCTCCCCTCTCACCCGAGCCCCTTCCCCTCAGCTCTCACTGCCATTCTTCTATGCTTCCCCTAGTGCTGCCTGCACCCTGACCATCCCCAGGCCACCCCTCCTTAGCCCAGCCCCCAGTCCTGCTGCCCAGGTTCTTGCTGTAGCTTATCCTGCGGAACCCAAACCAATTCCGCAGGACTGAGACATCACACCGGATGCCTATGGCCATATCAGTGTTAAAATATTGAAATGCCTCAGTATCTAATGGTAAAGAGCCAATGCTCTGAGTGCCTCCCTCCAAGCCCCAGTGCCCCAACTATCTGGCCGAGACATCCTCTATCCTCCCCCGATCCAGCAGCCAACCGCATAGACCCCTCTCTGGGACTGTGTTCAACATCAGTTCCAATGGTTGCCTACACTCTACTAGTATGTAAATGCTTTGTTAATCACCTCTGCAAAGAACTACAGTACAACGCAGAGTAAGGTAAGGGCTATTCCTTCATTTATTAATTAACTAATTCATCCCACCAGCACTTCCAATCACTCACTGATTGCCAGGCACTTAGCCAGATCTGAGACCTCCAAACCAAATGCAGTCTCTGCCTTCATGCATTTATGTTCTGGTAAGGGAGAGGCAGATCCTAAGTAAGAAAAGAAACATGCACACATGAATAAATGTATATTCTGATCAAGCGTTCAGGAGAAAATGAGATTTTTCTCAGGGAAGTCGGACATGGCTTCTGATAAAAGACTGTGTTTAAAGTGGACCTTAAGGATGTGCAGGGTTTCTGCAGGCCTGGCTGGAGGGGGACAGCATAGGCAACCTCATTAAGCAGAAAACATGGCATGTGTTTAGGGACCAGGACTTCTGTTTGGCTGGACAGTGGGGGTAAACAGAGGGGACTCCTGGGAGGTCAGGTGAGAGATGGACTGATGCATGAACAGGTCAAGACCCTAATTCTGAACCTCATGGCCCTCCAGCACAATATCCACATGGACATGGACTAATCTGGGCACAGGACCACTGTAAAAGTCAGGCAGTTTGTGCACTAGACAAAATGCCAGCCAAGAGGGTATGTGGGGCAGTCCTTGCTCTCCCTGCCCAGCTGCATACATTGGGGTGGGGGTTCCTAAAATACTTTCCACTGGTCCCACTTGTGCCAATGGCTGGCATCTCTCCAAAGGAGCACCTTTTCCCATTTCACAAAAAAAGCCCAAGATAGTCTAGCAATAGCCTTGGCTGGACACTTCCATCTCTAATCAGACTGCTCTGTTCTTTCCAAGCAAATTCTCTGGAAAACTCTTGTCTACATCATCCCATTCCCACCTCCATGGCCTCACCTTTAAGCCTACACAACTCTCTCAATCAAACCTCTCACCTACTCTGGCCGAGCACCTCCTACCTCTTACAGTGACCTCTTCCCCTTCACCCGGCTGCTCCTGAATCCTAGTCCTCTTTGAATCCTTACCTGACCACCTGGCCTGACCCCTTTCTCTGTCTAAACACATGGTTCTCATGACTTCCTCTTCCTTGCCCACTCCACAAGGTCACCTTCCTTGGCCTTCCTTGATTTGTTCCACTTTGTGTGTTAGCCCAGTGGTACCGGCCACGCATGGGTCTCTAGCATGTGTGAATGCAGCAGTGAGATCTCATCCAGATTGTAAACTCCCAAAACCAGAAACGAAGCCTGTGAATGTATAGCTCACTTGGCTGTCATTAAAAGAAACCCACATCACTATTGCTGTTGGGTCCTGTGCTTCATCTATCAAGAAAATGAAATCGCATTAATTCACTGGATGCATTAATTCAACAAGCATATATTGATCATTCACATATCCCAAGCACAGGTGATATGACAGTGAATAAGATGTGGTTTCTCTCCTTGGAGAGGATTTTTTTAATCAAAAATTTGTTGTGTCTACCATGTTCCAGGCATTGTGCTAGACTCTGAAGTTATAAAAGTTAAGACACAATCCCTGTGACAAAGGGACAGACAAGTAAAAAGACAATCACAATACAGAGTGCAACCTACCAAGACCAAGGATTTCCCTAAGTGCTGTGGGAACCCATAAAGCTCATATGGCCCAGTTCACAGCCTCATGGAAGAGACATTCTTTCATTCAACATTTCCCCATTGCCTACTGTGTGCCAGTCGCTGTTCAGGGTGCTGAAGTGATGAAGTCTTTCCCATGAAGTCCACCAAATCCAGTAGAGGAGGCACACAAGAAACAAATCAAGCAAGACCCCATCTCTACAAAAAATGTTTAAAAATTAGCTGGGTATGGTGGCGCACACTTGTAGTCCCAGCTAGTCAGGAGGCTGAGACAGGAAGATCACTTGAGCCCAGGAATTCGAGGCTGCAGTGAGCTATGATGGCACCACTGCACTCCAGCCTGGGTGAAAAAGCAAAACTCTGTCTCTTAAAAAACATTTAAAAAGAAGAAAATATTATGCATATGTTGCTTATTAAAGAATATAACGTATGCTATAATTACTATGGTTTTAAATAAGTCAGCATGATATAGAGAGGAAGACAGAGGATGATTTTTTGAGACACAAACTTTTTGACAATACTCATTATTCAATGCTTCATTGTCTTCTGACATTTCATCTTAAAGAGGAGAAACATAAAACTGCCATTATATTTATTCCTTTGTATATAATATGTTGTCCTTTCTTTTACAGATGCTTGTAAGCTTTTTTCTTTCATAAACTGTAATTCAAAATTATTGCCAGAAAACAAATTAAATAAATAAATTAGCAACTATGTGCTACACTATATGATGATAAATGTTTTGGAAAAAATTAAGCAACAGGGGAGGCATAGGGAATATCAGAGTCACAGGGAAGGTGTCCTTGTTCTACATGGAGTGGTAGGAAACGCTTCACTGAGATGACACTTGAGATCTAAAGACATGAAAGACCTAGACATGTGGTTATCTGAGAAAGACTATAACAGACAGAGGGAACAGCAAGTGCAAAGACCCTGGGGCACAGACTGCTTAGAGTATTCACAAAAGCTAAAGTTAACCAGTGGTGCTGGGGCCACATGACCCAGGCATGTGTGTTAAGGACAGAGGTCAATGAGGAAGTGGAGGTGTGGAGTGAGGAGGGCCCTGTAGCTGCTGGTGGAAGGGCTTTGGCTTTCACACTGAGTAATAAGGAGAACCACTGCAAGGCTTTAACAGGGTGGGTGACATGATCTGACTTTCATTTTAAGAAGCCTGCTCTGGCTGTGGTGTGGAGAATAGCCAGAAAGAGGCAAGGGATGGAGCTTGGAGACAGTGAGGAGGCGTCACAAATGTCCACGTGTCCGTGTGAAATGGTGCAGGCTTGGACCAGGGTGTAGCGGTGGAGGGAGGAGAAGGAGACCCGCCTGCAGCAGGCAGCATGGTCGTGTGTCAGATGTCCAAATGGAAGCACGTGCATGGCGCAAGAGCGGTTGGGGTGCAGAGGAGAGTGTGAGGACCCCGGTGTGGAATGACATGGGGAGGGAAGCTTTCACAGAGGGGGATGCTGGAGCTGGCCCTGGAAGGGAGAGTGTGTACATGCATGTGTGTTTACACTGGGAGGGTTGAACAAAAGGCCCCCAAGCATGAAAGAACCAGCAAATTGAGGAGCAGCAAATAGCTCAGTGTGGCCAGCTCAGGACAGCACCACTTGGACAGGAGAAGAGGGACAGGAGCTAAGAAGTTTGGGGCCAGTTGTGAAAGATCTTGAGTGTGAAGCTAAGAGTGTAAGCCCTGTCCTGCAGGCACAGCGGAGTCACCAAAGGTCTTCACGCAGGTGGGTGATTGCTTCAGAGCCACGAGGCCATTTTTGTAAACTATCGACTAGTTTGTTCTAAGATTGTCAAGAATCCGCAATGCCCCAGCATCCTTCTCAGGGCATTTCTCAATCACTGAGTTTACTGCAAGGCTATTGTAGTATATTGTTTGTATTGTGTTGTATTGCACTATTGTATTGTGTCATCGTGTGTGTGTGTGTGTGTGTGTGTGTGTGTGTGTGTGTGTGTGACTCACCCACTAGTCTGTGAGAAGCAGAGGTCAAGGGCCATGTGTAGGTCATCTCAACATCCTCAGCACCTAGAACACATTCTGGTGTGTTCAGTAAATGATGCTTGAATGAATGAATAGATGGGTGGCAGGGTGGCGGGGTGGCTGGCTGGATGGATGGCTGGCTGGATGGATGGATGGCTGGATGGATGGATGGATGGATGGATGGATGGATGGATGGATGGATGGAGTTCTGGAAGTGACCAGTGAAAATGGGAAAGTCTAGAAATGTTGGATGGAATTGACCAATGAGAAAGCCAAGAATAATAAAGGAACCATAAATGTTGGTTAATTGCAGATGCATGCAAAGACGATCCCAGTCCTCTGGGGATGTTTCTTCCTGTGGAATCTCGGCATCTCATCCTCTCAGACCACTTACCCTGGAATCAAGGCAAGGGCTACCCAGCGGGCCCTGGACTATGGTGAGTGGGACACTTTCCAAAGCCAGGCTACAGCCCCCTAGGTGGGGTCCATGATCCAAACCCAGCAGCTCATAACTTGGGCTGTCTCATGACTGAGATGAGCTCTACTGTGGGGGGATCCAGTCCCTTATGCAGAGGCTGCCAAGATGGCTAGGAATAAAGCACTGCCTGAAAATGCTCACCTTGACGCGAAGCATATCCAAACACAGCCACAGATTCTATCTCTCTCTCTCTCCCTTTCTCCTTCCCCCACACATACACAGTGGACATCTCGGGGCTCTAAATATTATAAGAATGCATTATAGAATAGAAGAAGGGAGCTTTGAGTAAAACTGACACCTTAGAGCTTCAGCAAAGGCTTGATTTCAAAAAGACTTAGAATCCCCTAAGATTGTGTGCAAAATGTAATGTAGATGATGATTTATGCATTTTTCTCGAGAGAGGCTTCACAATATTTATGAGATGTGCCAAGGAGTCTGAGGCACTGAAATGTTAAGAACCACTCCTTTAGAGGGCTAGAGGGTGTTTATAAACACTAGAGAGAGAAAAATGTTGGAATGTGATTTAACTTGGGCTAAGGTGGGGGCAGATTGTGGAGAGGAAAGGGACTGCAAAATCAAAGTATATGAGCCTGTTTGACTCCTGTAAAATTTTGCCTATGATTGGCTGAATGTACATTGACAGATTTTGCCCAGTCCTCTTTAACTAAAGCAGTCAACCCAAGCACTACTAGTTAACCAAGAAATGCCTCCCCTGCTATACCAGAAAACAAATAAATGAGGGAAGGAAATAAGAGAGAAAGGAAAGAAGGAGGGAGGATTAATTTGGGGGAAAATCCTTGTTCCTCCCTTAGTACCTCGTCTGGCACAGGGGATCTGAAACTGATCCCTCTTACACAATTGTTATGTGAACCATGATATGTGTAGAAATACATACCAGGAACATGTATGTATGTTTATGCATGTGTATCTTGTTTCTATATTGATGTGCTGATATACATAGAAATGCATATGAGAAATAGATATCTCGTAACTGTATCAAAGTTGTGCAAACAGTTCTTTTCACCCACTAGAGAAGAGAAGTTAGAAGACCATACCTGAAATCCATTTGCATGAGTATGAATGTCAGTTCTGTCCCTTTCCTCAATACATGGCCTTGGGCGAGTGGGTTTTCTCATGTGGAAAATGGGGTGATGAAAATGGTGCCTACCCACGTCTAGTGTAACATGAGGATCAAACGAGATCATCAGTGGAAATATAGCATGGGGTGGTGGAGACTCTGAAGTCAGAGTCATTTCTGGAGCATCTACCGAGGCGAAGCTCTGAATGTGCTCTCTGGGGCTTATGTTGACTTAATTCCAACAACAACCCTTTGAAGAAATTGTTGACATTTTTCAGACAAGGAGTCTGAAATTTCCCAAGTCACACACCAGTAAGGGGCTGAGGCAAAATATGAATTCAGGTCTGTTCTGCCTGATCTTAAAACTTGTGCTCTATCCTCCGCTCCCTGTTACTCCAAGCTCTGGCTAATGCCGCTCTCTGGCTGTGGGCTCTTGGGCAAGTCAGTGAACCTCTCTGAGCCTGAGCTGCCTCCTATGTGAAATAGGGATAATAATACCTATGTCATTGGGCTGCTGTGAGGATCCAAGGAGCGATGTATGTGGAGAATGTACAGTCCTGGCACATACAGGCACTCAATACAAATTAGCTGCTATCATTTTGTCTCATCAATTAGTTATGCTCCCCCCATTTTCCAGAAAGAGATCTGATGTGTCTATTTATTAGTAGTACCTGCTCAATATTTATTGAAATGGAGAGAATGATAATAGTACCTACCCATGGGGTTGTTATGGAACATAAATGAATTAACATATTGTATAAAGCACTTAGAATGGGGTCTGGCAATAGCAAATGTCTAACAAATATTGGCTACTGTTATTCTCACATGTGTGGACAGACCACTGATGGTTACTATTGTCCTCAGGTCACAGATGAGGAAATTGAGGGACAGATAGACTATGTAACTTGCACAATCACACTAGCTAGTATGTGGCAAAGTTGGGATTCACACCTAAGCTCTCCGATAGTGTCTTTGGTTCTATCTTTACATCCTTTATATTCTATCTTTATAGCCCCATATTACAATATTATTCATGGCCTTTTAGAGGATAAAATCTCTTCTACATCTCCAACAAAGAATAACTAGAAATGAACCTAAACTCCAAAATAAGGGATAAAGGCAAAATTTTCTCCATGATAAAATTAAAATTAAAAGATCATACTCAGAAGGCTGAGGTGGGAGGATCGCTTGAGCCCAAGAGTTTGAGACCAGCCTGGGAAACATAGCAAGACCCCATCTCTAAAAAAAAATTTTTAACAATTTTTTTTTAAATTAAAAGATTGTTCTTCATTAACTATGGAAGTAACTTTTCTCAAGCTCTTTTACATGGGTGAGGGCACTTTTCCCCCATGAGCTCAGAGAACTGTGTTCTGTGGTGCTTCCATATAAAGAAGCTGATGGGTTATTCAGGATGAAATAAAAGCAGTAATGTAACCTTTTCTGAGTCGTGCGATCCTTTGAGAACCTGGTGAAAATGTGTCTCCTCTCCCCTGAAAAATGAGACACATATGCACACACCACTTACTCAGCCTTTTATTAGAATTTTAGATAGCTCCAGAGTTCCCTACAGCCCATGGACCTCAGGACAAAAATTCTTGAGCTTAAAGAATGTGGAAAGAATGAAGAATGTGGAATTTTCTGGAACTGGCCATAGCACACAGATTCCAGAGCCAAAGAGCTAAGCTTTGACTACTGGCTCCCCCAGTTCTTAGTATGATTTGACCAAGAATTAACCTCTCTGAGACTGTTTCTTTGTCTGTAAAATGTGCGTGCTGAAAATAATAGTATACGTTAAAGAATATTTTGCACTTCTCATATCACATGGTCATATAATAAAACCCTTTAGCCATGGTCACATAGTGAAAATTTCTCATGATGTTAGCTTTGTGGTCTTGGGCAAATTCTTTAGAATCTCTGAGGAACAGTGTTTTCATCTTTAAAGCAGGGACTGTAATACCCACTTCGCAGGGTTGTTATTTTCTAAGTATCTAAGAGCATATCTCAATAAATTACATTTGTATGGTTAATGATATTATGCACGATCATCTTTGTTGTTATTGACATACCTTCTCATTTCCTTCACAGCTGTTCAAGCTGGGATGGAGATGATTGAACAAATGGTCAAGGAAAGGAACATCCCAAATATAAATGGTTCTGAGTCTCTTGAATTTCTAAAGGTTGATTATGTGAACTACAATTTTTCAAAGTAAGTGAAAGAAAAGAGCATTGTGTCTCACCTATGAGAAGCTCAAAAGAAACGGTGGAGGGACATGGGGCTTCTGGCCCCATGACTTCATCAGAATCCAGCCTCCTTGTCATTTTTCTGCTTCAGCAGCCTCAGCTCTGACTCCTACTCTCAAGTTTGCCTCATGGCTCAATATGGCCACTCTAGTTCCAGCCATCAAATCCATGTTTTAGGCAGCTGGGAGGAGGGGAAGGCAAGGGTAAAAGGGCTCTTATAAGCTCAGTCAGTCTCTTCTTTTAATGAGCTTTTTCTGAAGCTCTACCCTAATAAACTTCTACCCATACAACAGTTGTCAGAACTTAGTCATATGGCCACATATTAGCAATGAAGACTGAGAAATAGTTTTCCAACAAGACAACTTCTTCATCCTCAACAAATTCACAGGTATTTAAGATAGAATGGAAATGGATGTTCAGTAACTGACAACCTCTGCCACAGTCACCAATAAGAGCCCCAAAAGCGCTATAGAGTGAGGATATCTTTGTCCACCTTGAACTCAATCTTCAGGGTTAGGGGAGAGCCAAGATTTTCTAAGGAGTTATCTGTGACTGAGATTCACAATTTGCCCCAACACTTTAACAATCCAGTGACCATTCCCTGCTACTCCAACCCTTCGGAGTAATAATTTCCTGCTGTCAATGATAATATTCTATAAATCCAAGAGGATCTTTTTATGGAGGAAAAGAGATGCGGATACAGGGAAAGTTCCTGCCAATGCCCTCATCTGTATGAAGCTAGCCATTCAACAAGTATTTATTGAGCACCTACTATATACCTACTATATCCCCTATGTTCTAGGCAGAGGGGATAATGTAGTGAACAGCATACCTGTCCATAATGTCCAGTGGGAGAGGTGAACATTAAATATTATTGTGCAAACATGATAAAGTACACTTACACAAACCTAGATAGAATAGCCTACTACACATCTAGGCTATATAGTATATCCCAGGACCAGAGGTCCTCAAACTTTTTAAACGGGGGGCCAGTTCACTGTCCCTCAGACCGTTGGAGAGTGCACACTGTGGGCCCGGGACGAGTTGGCTGCTAAGCAGGACAGGCAGCAGTGGGAAAAATACCTGGAGGGCCTGATAAATGTGCTAGGTGGGCCACATGTGGCCCGCAGGCCGTAGTTTGAGGACGCCTGGATAGCCTATTGCTCCTAGGCTACAAATCTGCATGGCGTGTTGCTGTGCTGAATATTGTAACATGGTGGTAAGCATTTGTGTGTCTAAACATATCTTAACATGGAACAGTAAAAATACAATATTATAATCTTATGGGACCAATGTTGTATATGCAGTTCGTAATTGACGAAATGTCATTATGCAGTACACGTGTATACATATGAAGTGCTCACATTCCTACTGGAAGGTGCTATTTTAGAAGGTGATTTACAAGTATCATTTATACACATAGATATAGATATAAATATATAGATATACACACACATGCCCTTTGACCCAACAATTCTACTCCTCAGCATCCTCCCTAAGGAAGCACATGTACAAAAGCAGTGGGTTTGAGGATGTTCACTGTAGAATTGCTTATAATACAGAAGTACTGGAAACAACCTAGATTTCCACCAACAAAGGAATGGTTTTTTAAAATGGTCCATCCATAGCTCAGAATACTCTGCAGCAGTCATAAAGAATTGGTTAGACCTGTATGTATCAAAACAAAAATATTTCCAAGATACATGAAATGAATCTCAATCATCCTCCTCCCACAGTAGGACTCGTGATGTGTGATAGAAAGTAGTTGGGAAAAGGGGCCGGACACAGTGGCTCACACCTGTAATCCTAACACTCTGGGAGGCTGAGGTGGGAGGATCACTCAAGGTCAGGAGTTTGAAAGCAGCCTGGGCAAGAGTGAGAACCCTGTCTCCACTAAAAATAGAAAGAAATTAATTGGCCAACTAAAAGTATATAGAAAAACTTAGCCGGGCATGGTGGCACATGGCTGTAGTCCCAGCTATTCGGGAGGCTGAGGCAGAAGGATTGCTTGAGCCCAGGAGTTTGAGGTTGCTGTGAGCTATGCTGATGCCACAGCACTCTAGCCTACACAACAGAGACTCTGTCTCAAAAAAAAAAAATGAATAAATAAAGTAGGTAGAAAAGGATGCATAAAAGAGGAAACAGCAAATAATCCTTTCTTAATCAGCTATCACATTTATATTTTAATATTTTCCAAATCTTAGTTCAGTACAATGCCTTTCTCCTGTGCAGCAATTATACACACATGAACTCATTTTGTCTCCCCAACCTATTATACCTGTGAGTAATACTTCTTTTGAGTGATTGACTGGAAGAGGGTAAGTGCCTTGCCCAAGGTTGTTCAGCTAGTACAAAACTTGGCTCCGACTCAAGTGCTCTTTGCACAATATGTGAAGTAGCATAGCCTTGTGGTTAAAAGCACAGTCTGAAGTCAGACAGAGGAGGGTTCCAGGTCTGGTTCTACCACTTATATGTGACTTCAACCACTTTTCTTATCTTCTAATCTCTGAAATGGAGATTGCAAAAATAGCAACTGCCTCATGGAATTATTGTGAGAGTCGAGCTGAGCTAATGCATGTAAGGTGGTTACCACAGTGCCTGGCAGGTAGTAATCGCTCAATACATGTTCATAATAATTTATCATGATGCATACAGCCATCCACCTGTGTAGGTAACATGCAACCCACTTCCTCCTAGCTTCCTGTTTGACAGCCCAGAGAAGTCTACTAGGGAAGTCAACCTCTAAGTTTCTCAACTAGAGAAGATACTATCCACATAAAGGGCATTTGCAGGAAGGAAGACACGTTCTGGTTGTCCCAGTGACAGGTGGGGAGAGACACTTTGGCATATGTGTCAAATGTCCTGCATGAATACAACAGTCCTCTTTAAAAAATAGCTGTCCATTCCAAAATACTAGTAGCATCCCTCTGAGAAACATTGGAACTACTGAAGGAAAAATAATGATGGCAATGCTGCACCTGTTTTTGCCTCTAAAGAAACTAAAGAAATAGATAACTGGATTATTTACAAATTTATTTCTAAGCTTGCTCATTTCCCCCTTCAACCATATACAAGGGACTTCCTGCCAATAGTTTGAGAGGAATGAGGAGGCAGTGCCTAGAGACCACACTGCAGATGGGAGGTTCCCCAATTGTGAATTGAAGAATTCACAATTGCTTCAGCTGGGAGTTTACAACTGCATTTCTTGATTTGCTTGACTTAAGTGATTGTGCCTGAGACGTTATCCTAACTTACCTGCTCCTTGTTTTACAGCATAAAAATCAATGCCTTTTCATTTCCAAATACTTCATTAGCCTTTGTGCCCGGAGTGGGAATCAAAGCGCTGACCAACCATGGCACTGCCAACATCAGCACGAATTGGGAAATCAAGTCTCCACTCTTGTGAGTATTCCACTGAAATATCTGCTGCTGTTCTGAGGGCAAGTGGAGCAAAAATGCAGAGTATATAAATTTGCTGATGCTTTCAATGTTAGGCTTCTTTCTCTCAATATTAACAATATTTCTCAAGAGCATTTTTTCCAGGTGAGAGTTAAATCAGGAAATCCATGCAGGGTGTAACGGAGGGTGTGAAAAGCATTCTTCCCTTAAAGGCAGAACAACTGATCAAATGTCAATTAGATTTCCTAAGAACTAAAAGTCCTGACTATAGAAGGAACCGACCTGTGTCCGCGTTTTAGATCCACCAACAAATCACTGCCTAATCTTGAGCCATTAAACACACTTCCCATCTACAGGGCAACTAATGGGAATGGGCCTTCCTAGTCAACACAGAGAGAGTGAAGAATGGTAGTCAGCTTACACCCAATTCTCCCCAACAAAAAGCCTTTGCACCCTCATATAAAGAAAGAGGTCAAATTCAAGGTACATCCACAGACCACCTACCACAGCAAGTTACTGTCCTGGGTGTAATGCTTATTTCTTCCTTGATTGATGGCCCAGAAGAACCCAACACATTCATTTACCCAGCAGGTTGGTCAATGAGCAATCATTGAGTGCCTGCTGCGTACCATTATCCCGTCCTAAGCACTTCAGTATTGTAAATGAAATGGCATGTTTCCCGTAAACAACATATATTCATGTATTCATTTCATTTGATGACTGTTCAACCATATACTGAATGCTTATTCTGTGTTAGGCCATGTGCTAAGTCCTGGAGAACACACAGTCCATCCTCTCGAGGATTCACAGACTACGTCTCTCTGTCACTTCCCATCTATGCCCCTCCTGAATAAGGTGTTGCCAACTTTACCCCTGATGTTCTTCCTCCAAGCAAACATTGTATATGAATGGTGCTCAATAGGTGCTCAACCACCACCAGGGCCAGAGCACTCAAGATGAAATACCTACAATATCCCCAAAGCTGCTATCATTCACATGTTCATTACTTCATTTGTCCAGTAAATAAATATTCATTCAGCACTATCCATTCCTACTATTGTAGGTGCCAGGAATCCAGAGATAAATGTGAGAAAGTCCTCGCCTCCGAGCTTGGAGAGTCTCTGGGTTATTAGAGAAACAAGATCTGTCTCCGTGCCTGGCCGGCTTTGGGTAACCTGCCCTTTTTCTCTACACAGCCAAGATGCGGAGGAGCTGATCTCTTTCTCTCGGCGATCTACTTTACTGGATTGTTATCCTGACCCGAGATGTCCTCTGGTCATCAACCTGAAGCTCCAGGACTGCTGATGCCCAGTGAGCCACGCCCACGTCTCATTTTCTGGAGAGCTCAGGTGAGTGGAGCACCGTGTGGGCAGTGGCTAGGGTGGGCTGGATACTCACGCAGCACGGGGAGGTTTTAACTGACAGATTCTGGTACCTGAGTAAGTCCTTTTTTTTTTTTTCTTTTTTTCCTAGTGTCCTATACAACTCCTTTGCTGAGCCCATGGAAAAACCTATTTTAAAGAACATAAATGAAATGGTAGTCCTTTGCAACTTAATATATTTCTCAAGTCCTTTGTATGTCCCAAACACTCTGGTAGGTGCTGGGAATGCAGAGATGAATAAGACAGCAGCCTCTCCTTCAAGTTTCTCACCATAGGGTGGGCAAACAATCTACACGAATTTATTAATTATGTACCTACTGCATGCCCAGCACCTGACTTGGCTCTATTGGGAATATGAAAGAGGAATAAATGTGTGTTTTTAGAAAAACCAAATTTAAGCTTGTGAAACAATAATGGAATGAGTGCTTGAATTTAATACATAGTTACATGATATTCAGATTAAACTGAAGAGGTTCAGAGAAATGAAAGTTAAAGAAATAGGACCTGGAAGTATCCTGGGATATATACTTTTTTCAGAGAATGCAGAATTTGAACTAGACCTTGAAATATAGGTAGGATTTATATAGGTAAGCAATGAGGGCAAAAGAAAATTTTTCCAGGAAATAGAATAAATTAGGAAAGTAGGATTGTCTTCCAAAGCTATAAATATCCTGATTCCAGAAGTCAGTGTTGGAGGAAGGGAATGATGGAATTGGCTGTGTATTTCTGATCCTGACTGCATCTTACCTGCATCCTTTACCCATATTTTGGGAGAGACAGACAGGGATGAGGAGGACTGGAAAACAAGGAGTACTCTTCTGAAAAAATGCCAGGACTGTGTGTGGCTATTGCCATGTCTCTGGTGCTCAGCTCGATGCTTGGCAGACAGTAGGTGCTTAATGAAAGTCAGTGAGGAAATCAGCACTCAAAAGCATCAAGCAGCTTTTCCACGCTAGGCTGCACAGCTAGTCAGGGGACTCTGAAACCTCACAGTCCTTCTCCATCCTAACCTGACCAGTGCTGAGTGCCAGTGAGTGGGCACGTTAAGGAGTGACTGGGAAAGTGTACTGTCACCTTAAGGACCCCACACTTGCCCATTCCTCTGTTGGAAACAAGGTGTGGTCCCTTGGCCTCTGTCAGGAGGCCAGTGAAGAATGAATTGTGTCACGGCAGCCAATAGTCAAGTTTGCCTGGAGTGTATAGATGGCTTAGAGATCACAGATGCCTTGCTTCTGTGGTTTTGTCTGTGCCGCTGAACGATAGAAAAGAACGCTCAGACCACAGCTATCTAGGGTGTCAGACCAGGTCTCACATCCTGGCTGTACAACTCCTGCCAACTCATGTAGCCTCTCTAAGCTTTGCTTTTCCTGGTTGTAAATAGAGGACAATAATGCCTGTCTCTCAAGGCTGCGGTGAGGATGAAACAGGGTTAAAACAACAGCTAACGTTTGCTGGATGCTTCCTATAAGCTGGTCAAGTTCCCATGAATTACCTCGATTTCTACTGTCAACTTGATGAGATAGATACAATGATCATCCTCATGTTGCAGATGGGGAAACTGAGGCCAGAGAGTACAAGTAACTTGCCCAGTCAAGATTCACCCCAGGCCAGCAGGCTCCCCAGCTGCGACTGCAGCCACTCCGCTGCACACATCAGTGAGCAGACAACAGGCGCCTCCGTGCTAACACTTGTGCCCCTTCCTAAAGATATTAGTCCAATTCAAGACTAGTTTTCTAATTCCAGAAAGGGAGAAACAAAATAGATCTCTGAATATGTCTCTGGTCTAATGGGCTCTCAAACTAGCCCAGGGGTAGCTGGTAAAATGTTCCAGCTGTAACCACTCCAGACAGGACTTGGGAGGTGGGCGGCAGCCCTGGCAGTCAGGAAAGACAGAGTGACTCCAGCAGCAGGTTCCTCAGGAGTGACAGCAGCAGCATGGTCTGGGCACATGCCCTATCATGTCACAGAGAGAAAAGCCACGGCTCTTTTATGGGGCTGAATGGGTGTAGTCCCAGTTGCTATGAAGTTTAGCCAGCATTCAATGACATGCCACCCATACATATTTAACTTGAGACCCATAAGTGTCAACTAATTTAAAGGGAAGCCTTGATGGCCAAAGGGACGATGTCTCCTAGCCACAGGGCCTTTGTTTGCAAGGTCTGGCCAATCAAGAAGGGTTTTCCAGTACAATATGATAACCTGCTTTTTTTTTTTCATTTTATTTCTTTTGTGGCCAGCTCTGTCCCATTATCACAGGTGAGGTTGAAGCTCTAAACGCCAATCTGAGCGCACTGGAAGGTGAGTCCTAGAACTGTCTGTTCTTGTTGTTTCTCTTCCCACCTTCAAATGCTGGTACTGATTTTACTCTTCAAGATAGTCTCTAGCTCCATTCTGCTTGCTGCTCTGCAAATCAGAGTCCTTGCAAGGTGTATGGGAAGACGCACCCTGTGCATAGGACATGCTCTCTTTGTCTAATAACTAACTTCACCTCTGCAAGAGGGGGCGGCTCCAGGGGACAAGATGCAGGTCCAGGAATGAAACCCTCAGGAGCTCTAATCCAAGCTCTGGCGCTAAACCCATTCTCTTCAGAAGGATTAACACTAATCTTGACCAGGCTATCCTCAGATTCTGGCCCCTGCAGTGGCTGCCTTTAGCCCCAAGTCCAAGGACCTCAGCATGGACTACAAGGCTCACCGTGCCCTGCTTCCTGCTCACCTCCCTCTGCTTCATCTTGCACCTTCCTCTGCCGCAGCATCTGCTGCCCCCTCATGCCTTGCCCTTGCTCTTGCTGTCCTCTCTGCCTGGAAGAGCTTCCTCTGCCCTCTGTCCATTCATTCCTTTGATGGATATGTATGCAGTGCCCAGTTCTGTGCCAGTGCTGTGCTAAGCCCTGCGGGGTTCAATCCCTTCCACTCTTCACCCCTCAACCTCCACTTGTCAGATCCACTCCTCTTTCTCTTTAATACTCAGATCAAGGCCAGGCGCGGTGGCTCACACCTGTAACCCTAGCACTCTGGGAGGCCAAGGCGGTAGGATCACTTGAGCTCAGGAGTTCAAGACCAGCCTGAGCAAGAGTGAGACCCTGTCTCTACTGAAAATAGAAAAAATTAGGCAGGCATGGTGGCACATGCCTGTAGTCCCAGCTACTGGGGAGGCTGAGGCAGGAGGATCACTCGAGCCCAGGAGCTTGAGGTTGTTGTAAGCTAGGCTGATGCCACAGCACTCTACCCTGGGCGACAGAGTGAGACTCTGTCTCAAAAAAATAAAAACCTCAGATCAAGCATGGTCTCTTCCAAGAAATCTTACCTGACATCCCCCACCCCACAAAGCTATGCCTCCTCTCTGCTTGCTTGGTGCTTTGGGCGTATCTCTCTCTTTGCACTCCATGCAATCACTCACCAATAGTTCACTGAGCAGCTAAGATGGGCCGGTCACTGTTTTTGGTGCTGGGGGTGCAGCAGTAGCCTAGAGGACAGACATCCCTGCCCTTGTGAGATTAGTGGGTAGAGACAGACAGCAAGCAAGGTAAGTAAGTAAAATCTGCATTGCAGCAGTGATACGTGGTAAGAAGAAAACCGAAGCAGGGCAGGAGCTGGGGAGGGGTTTCCACGTTAGATAGCATGGCCAGGGAAGGCACCACTGAGCAGGTGACATTACTGGAAGAACCTGAAGGGAGTAGGGAGTGAGCCACTGCTGGATCTGGATGAAGAACACGCCAGGTGGAGGAAACTGCAAGCACAAAAGCCCTGGAGCAGGAGCATGCCAAGTGTTCCCTGGGGAGCTGCTAGGAGCCCATACTAGGAGCAGAGGGGCTGGGGGCGGGGGAGCAGGACATGAGATCAGAGATGGGGAAGCGGGTGGTTAGATCGTCAGGGCTCCATAGAGCATTGCAAAGCCCACCTCTTAGTCTGAGATGGGAAGACTTTGGAGGGCTCTGAGCAAAGCCGGCATGATGTGACTCACAGTTTAAGAACATCACTCTGGCTTCTACGCTAATAATAAGAAGGAAGGGTGGCTAGAGAGGGAGCATGGAGGCCACTAAGACACGAGTGCAGTGACCCATATGGGCCGTGAAGGCGGCTGGTCTGGGAGAAGTGATGAAGATGGCGAGACACGTTCGGACTCTGGATGTGCACTGAAGGTCGTCATAAAAGTATTTGCCAACAGATCAAATGTGGGTCACAAGAGGAGCGAAGGGGGACTTTGGGGTTTTACCCTGAGCAACTGGAAAAGTGGAAGAATGGAATTAGCATTTACTGAGAAGGAAAAAGACCACAGGAAGAGGTCTGTAGCAGGCCCATCAGGAGCTCAGCGTAGATCTGCTCTTACTGTGCTCTGCTAGAATTTCCTACCGATACGTCTGTGTCCTCTCCCAGACTGTGAGTTCCTCAAGGACTGGAACTTTGACACATTTCTGTGTCTCCAGCATCACGCACAGCAACGAGCCCATACTAGGTTAACAAATATTGGATTGATAAATGGATTCAGAAGCATGGAAGAAAATGAATGGACCGGAGAGGTAGGGAGAGAGAAAGATGTGGTGAGGAAAGAACTAGTCAAGGGGTCCCATGTCCTAGCTTGTCTTGGGCAAGTTTCTTACCTCTGAGCCTCACTCGCCTGTAAAATGATGACTGTCCTGCTTCCCTCACACAGTGAGGACTTGAAAGCATTTTACAACTACGGTGACAGAGGATAATATTGTTCCCTTACCTTAGCAAGCCACTTCATCGCTTCTTGCTTCTCATCTCCATCTATGGAATAAAGCGATCATGACATGCAAGAAGAGTAGAAATGATACTTGGCTACCTTTCTCTAGAACACATGGTGTTCAGAAAAGCAGCTCTCCACAAGTGGCAAACTGGAGTGCTACATCATGGCATGTCCAACCTGTTTCAGAAGCCAAAATCACACTTTATGGGAGCTTCACCCACCACTGTCCCCTGGTGTCCTTTTCTTCTACCTTGTCCTAAAAATGAGAATACAAAAAATTACTTAAATTAGAAGCACTGTGCATAAGAATTCCCTTGGCCTCTTCAACTTCATGGATTTTATTTTCTCCCTCACAATCTCTTTTTAAAAAATATTTCTAATTACAACAGCAATGTGTGCTCATTGTTATGCACTAACTACATGGAAATTCATAACATCAAACTGGAAAGTCTTTCATTATACCAACCCGATATGTAGGGCTTAACATTGGTAAGGGTGTTTTGCTTGTGCTGATTCACTTTTTTAAAAAGAACTATCTATGCATTTGTGTGTTTGTATGTGTGTGCACCTAAAAAGGTATACAGGTATAAGGTCTCCCCTTATCTGTGATTTTGCTTGCCATGGCTTCATTTGCCTACAGTCAATGGTGATCTGAAAATATTACAGTATCTCAATTTGTATCTGAAAGAGAGAGAGAGAGAGAGACCACATTCACATAATTTTTATTACATTGTATCAAGGTTTAAACTATTCACAGTTTCAGGCATCCACTTGGGGTCTTGGAATGTATCCACCATTCCAAGTGGGGACTACCGTATACCAACATTTTATTGACATTTCTCTCAGAGGAATATGATTGAGAAAGATGTTTACTTTCTTCTTCATCTGCTTTTCCTGGATTTTCAAATGTGAATATATATGGCTTATGAAAAGGGGAATTGATATTTTAAACAGAAAATTAAAAATTATATTGCTCTGGATAGACATTATACATATACTATGCTTTTAATGAATGTAGATTTTCTTTTTCCTTTGTTGGTTATTTAGTTTTAACCAAGATTGACAACTATACTCTGCTGGATTATTCCCTAATCGATTCTCCAGAAGTTACTGAAAACTACCTTGACCTGAATTTGAAGGTAATTTTCATCAGAATCCTTATCTTGCCTGTCAACAGCCAGTATTTAGAGCAGCAGTCCCCAGCCTTTTGGGCACCAGGGGACCAGTTTCATGGAAAACAATTTTTCCACAGGGGTGGGGGGTTGGAGGGAGGCAGAGCTCAGGCGGTGATGGGAGTGGGGAGAGAATGTAAACACAGATGAAGCTTCACTCACTTACCCACCACTCATCTCCTGCTGTGCGACCTAGTTCCTAAGTTTCATGGAAGACAATTTTTCCATAGACCACAGATCTGGAGCTGGGGGGTGCTGGAGCTCAGGCGGTGGTGCGGTCCAGTTCCTAACAGGCCATGCACCAGTACTGGGCCACGGCCCAGGGGTTGGGGACCACAGATTTAAAGAACAAAGATTATGTGCAGAAGGAGTTATATACACATGCTCAGATAATTATATTTTCTTTTGAGCAACTCCCTCATGTTTATACCTTTTCCAAAGACTCTTTTTCCTGATTTGAATTGTACAACATATGTTTTCCTTCTTCAAAAGAAGTGTCAGGATGTGTTTGCCTGTAGGAGGAGGTTTGAGGCTAGGAGGCAGCAAGTAGAGTGGTCTGCATTTACTAGAACTTAATGCACCAGTTGGTAGTACATGTTGGTGCTTCCATACCTCACTCTCAGGTTAGTGGTTTTAACTGAGGGCCACAAGGACATGGAAATGGTACTCACTGATCCTAGAAAACAATAGTTGTGCTTATGTTTAGTTTTGGCCCAAAGTTAATATCATTGTTTTTTAAAATGCATATTAGCTTATATTTCATTCACCACAGTCTTTCAAATCAGTTCAATGTTGTATAAGACAACATTTTGTAATAATGCCCTATAGCTAATGAGAGCAGCATTAGAAATGCCACAAAAAATGCTTTAAACCATTTGGAGTCTTGGGTTTTTCTGAGTCTTTCTATGACTCCCCAGGTACCCAACAGACATAGATTTTGAAGGTCAAGGGTTTGACACCTCTACATGGCACCTCAGGAACTACTCAAAGGTGTCCCCTCCAGCTAAACGCACCTCCTTCCTTTGTCTGAGAAAAGTGCCAACAGGACCTTCTCACTGGGTCACTGGGCCCCTCACTGGTCCTAGGGGGAAAAAAATGTAGGGTTAGGGTAAACAGATGTGGTCAAATATGCTCAAGAATCATCAGAGCTTTGAAAGATACTGTCTGGTCAAGGAGTCAGAAGGCCTTATCAGTTTTTCATCCCTACTGAGTTTCTGGAATTTTCCTTTTCTGACTTCAGAGGCTCCACCTTCTTAGTCCTGCACCTTTGAGTTCTCACTTGATGCACTGGTCATCCTTTCTGTCTCCCCACAGGGCGTGTTCTACCCGCTGGAAAACCTCGCCGACCCCCCCTTCTCACCAGTTCCTTTCGTGCTCCCAGAAGGCAGCGACTCCATGCTCTACATTGGAATCTCCGAGTATTTCTTTAAATCTGCGTCCTTTGCTTACTTCTCAGCTGGGGCTTTCAACGTCACCCTCTCCACCAAAGAGGTGAGGAGAGTGAACCTATGGAGACAGTTGGCGCCATCATTCAACCTTTTGATGAGTGTCCCAGTATGGGATTTTTATTCCATGGTTCGATTCCTGGGCCTTTTTAGGCTCTCACTCCCAGCTAGACAATGAGGAAGGAAGGAATTGCGGAAGGAATGTTGTTACAGGTTGCGTATCCCTTGTCCAAAATGCTTGGAACTAAAAGTGTTTTGGACTTGGGATTTTTAAAAAGATTTTAGAATATTTGCAGTATATGCTTACCAGCTGAGCATCCCTAGCCTAAAAATCTAAAATCCCAAATGCTCCAGTGAGCATTTCTATTGAGCATCATGTTGGCACTCAAAAATTTTCAGATTTTGGAGCATTTCAGACTTCAAGTTTTCAGATTAAGGATGCTCAACCTGTATTCACTGGGGAGTTATTGGGCTTCTAGATCCGCTAAATTTCAGGTTTTTTCATGATAGCTCACCACTGTTCTAGATTAATCTTAAATATTGCCAAGACCCCCTTCCACCATTTCTTTCCTGTGACCTTAGGAAATTTCAATTTATTTATAATAACTTCTATGTGCCAGAGTTTTCTCATTTGGAAAAGGGGGATAATAGATAATAAGAGTTCCACACTTAAAGGGTTGATATGGGCATGAAGAGGTTCAAATATATGTAAAGTATTCAGGCCAATGCCCAGCACAGATTAAGTGCTATATAACTGTAACTTTCATCGTCCTCATTATTCTCTGTGTTATGGCAGTATAAAGAGATCTTCTGATTGTAATCACAACTGCTGACTTATCTACAATGACCAGTAATAGTACAGATACTGTGATTCTCTTTGTCATGCACCTCCCTTTTGTAACAGGTGCACTCTTTCCAGCCAGTCAGCCAAAAGCTTATTGAGCTTCCCTTTTAACCCTTTGCACTCGCTTGCTTTTTTCTTGATTCCTTTATTCTACTCGGGATTCAATTTTTTAAATACCCCAGATTTTACAAAGCGCGGCAACAGAATAAAAAACTGGGGTTTCTTTTCATACAAACTTATTTATTTGGATTTTTTTTTATATTTCAAATTATTGATACATTCAAAGAGTTTTTTTAATCTCTATAATTTTTACTAACCGTGTCGAGTCACACTTGACATCTGAGTGCAAAGGGTTAAATCTTCTCATTCTATACATCTTAGTTACGCAAGTCGTTATAAATCTTATGTTCAAAATACTAAGTGTGGCGGCACCAGCTACTTTACAATATTGAGGATTAGACACCTCTGGCTTCAGACTTGAGAACCATCTGTGAAGGTAAATTACTTAAGCATCCTGCATCTTAGTAATGTCTGAAAATAAGGACAATGGCACAAGACTTATTGTTAATGACTGTAGAATATTTATACATGGATTGTACATATATAGTGTTTATGTTATTCCCAAAGTCAAAAGGAATATAACTTCCTGTGTGACCTTGGGCAAGTCACTTTATTTTGCTGGGCCTCAAATTCCCTGTGGTTGAGCTATAAAATGATAGGTCACCTTCAAACACTAAACATTTTATAGTGCAACAGCATCACGATTCATAAAACTATAAGGAACACTACATTTTCCCTGAAAAGACAATCCAGGTAAAAACCTTACATTGACATTATGGACTTTATCTTCCAGATTTCCAACTACTTCGTTCAAAACTCTCAAGGCTTTGGCAACGTCCTCTCCCGGGTGAGTGCTCAAGGTTTGATTTTTCACTGCAACTACTTCTGGAAGACTCGTGGGTTCTTTATATTCCTATTTGGTCTAAGCATGAGTCTATCTTTCCATTCTTAAGAGTTGTTTTCTCTTAATCAAATATCTACAAATATTTACTGAACAGTACAAGTTAAAGTACAATTAAAGGCATCATAAGCTCACAGAATAAATCACCTGTTCCTTCCACTGGGTTCCACCACACTTGAAATACTGAGCTTAAATAAAAGATTTATTCACTTAAATGAAGGATTTAATCCTTAAATGAGGGATTAGTGCCCTACCTGTGACGTTAATAAAGCAACTATTAGTATTATGCCTTCCTAGCACACTAACTATTGAACATAAGGTACCTATAGGCTCAGGTTTGCCCTTGAGGACAAGGACATGTTCATGTAGCATCCTGGTTTTAAAGCAAGGACCTCGAGTCAGACAAACCTAGGTTTGAATCCCAGTTCTACAACTCATTCTCCTAGAACCTTGAGAGAAACATTTAACCTGTCTGAGACTCATATTCTCCATTATAAACCAGGGTTACTGATAGACTCTGCCTCACAAGGATTTTGGAAGATTAAATGAGAGAATGCATAAAGCCCCTAGCACAGCGGGTGGCAGGAAGCATTGTGTTCAGTAACTGCCAGATGTTAGTATTGCTTGTTTTTTGTTATTTTTATTATTATTAAAGAGGGTTTTTTTTTTCTATTTTAACTGCATGATGTAAGATTTAATAGCCACAGACCAACCTAAATTTTTGATTTCTCCCCATGAACTCATGACTTCCAATCACCTTTTCTTTCCCCGAACACGAGCAGCTCGCGGAGATATACATCCTGTCCCAGCCCTTCATGGTGCAGATCATGGCCACGGAGCCCCCCGTGATCAGCTTGCGGCCGGGCAACTTCACCCTGGACATCCCTGCCTCCATCATCATGCTCACTCAGCCCAGGAACTCCACGGTGGAAACCATCGTTTCCATGGACTTTGTAAGTCTGGGAGGCAGCAGGGCAGCATGTGGATGCCAGTCCTGTTCCTGGAGTGGACCACTGACCAGCAGCTTCTAAATGTTGGAGGGCTGGGGCGGGGCAGTGATGCGTCAATTAAGAGTGAGGACAAGGCCAGGCGCGGTGGCTCACGCCTGTAATCCTAGCACTCTGGGAGGCCAAGGCGGGCGGAGCATGTCGGAGTCAGGGTTCAAAACCAGCCTGAGCAAGAGTGAGACCCCGTCTCTACTATAAATAGAAAGAACTTAATTGGCCAACTAATATAATAGAAAAATTAGCCAGGCATGTGGCACATGCGCTGTATTCCCAGCTACTCGGGAGGCTGAGGCAGGAGGATCCTTGAGCCAGGATTTTGAGGTTGCTGTGAGCTAGGCTGATGCCAGGGCACTCACTCTAGCCTGGGCAACAAAGTGAGACTCAGTCTCAAAAAAAATAAAATAAAATAAAATAAAAGAGTGAGCACAGAGCTGGGACTCAGGGAGAGGTGTGGCCGGAGGGGAGGCCCATGCTCACACTCCCAAACATCGTAAAATCTCTCTCCAATCTCTACTTCACGTTTGCTCTTCCCACCCCCTCAGTTACATGGATGGCTAAATTTCTTTTTTCCTTATAATAAGTCAATCAAGGTGGAACTCTAGTTTATTTGAGCATACGAAGGCCAAATACAACGTGATAGAAGGAAACTAATACAATGAACCTAATCAAAATCATACACACACACACACACACACACACACACACTGAAGAGAGATTAGGAAAAAAGAAAAAAAAAATTTGAAGACAGTCTTCCAACAAAAAGAATTTGCAATTAGTTTCCCTACCGGCAAAACAAAATATTCAGAGCTATTTCTTTCCAATGTCTTTTTAGAATAAGAGGGAAAGTTGGGCTTATGATGTTTCTGCTCTAGGAAACTATGGGTGGTTCAAATGGACAGATTTACCCATCTTAGTGATGAATGCTTTTGTCATCTGCAGGTTGCTAGTACCAGTGTTGGCCTAGTTATTTTGGGACAAAGACTCATCTGCTCCTTGTCTCTGAACAGGTAAGATCAGTTGATTTGGCTGTTGGAAACCTTGGTAATAATTGAGTCAAAGGTCACATAGACAAAGTGGCCATTAAGAGAACAAATTAAGTTAGCCATTGTATGAACGTGAGTCAGTTAAGCACTTCTCCTGGAATGGACCAGATCATTTTGCAGTACGGACTTAACTAAAAATCGCATTGTAAAGTTTTTCTTTTTTCTTCCCATTAGAGTCATATTAAAATAAAAAGGGGGGGAAATAATTATAAATATAATTCTGTAATAGAAGTGCACATTCTAATGGTACAGCAATATAAACTAAATGACCTCTTCATCAAATGCAGAGAGTGTGATATGGAGGAAAGAGCATAAAATTTAGGGGTTAAGGAACCAAGTTTCAAGTCCCTGCTCACCAGCTCTAGAACAATGATCAAGTCTATTAGCCTCTTTAAGCCTCAGTTTCCTTATCTGTAAAATAATGACATTGTCCTGGATCACGTCTAAGGTACCTTCAGACCCTGACGATCTGATCCCATTACTAGAACATAGAATTTAACAAGATCTTGCCCTGTGTGGCCCAGCTGGCTCGCAGATGCAAGGCAGGCAGTGTGAAAGGTCAAGAGCAGGTCACAGACAGAGATCGCTGAACACTAGGTGACATTTGGAAGAACCACCTTCGAAGCCCATTTTCCTGGGCCCTGTAAACTGGCAGTTGAAATCATCAATCAGGCTACCTACGGGAGGATTTACAGCAGGAGCAGATGGCCCAGACTGAGTTCAGAGAAGAAAGAAAAGGAAGCAATAAAACAGACTTACAGCAGGACCAGAAAAGAATTGAGAAACCAGTAGGGGGGAGGAAAGTAAGTCAATTGCCATAAGTCAACATGATGGTTGTAGAGACTATTGTATAATATAAACACGGAAAAAGTTTTCGATAAAGTCATGTTAAATGGAAAAAGCAGAATACAAAACTGCATGAACACAACATCCATCAGTGGTGTAAAACAGCTGCACATTTAGAAGAGGAAAACAGCTTTGCATTTGGACAAGGAAGTGAATCACATAAATGAAAATGAAGAGTTGTGTGTTAGGGTATGGGATTATGAGTGGTTTTGTTTTTCATTAAAATTTTCTCTCTAACTATACTGTTTTTCCAACGAAAGGAATAAAATTTTTCTTAAAAGGTAGTATGGGCTGAGGCCGGGCGCTGTGGCTCACGCCTGTAATCCTAGCTCTTGGGAGGCCGAGGCGGGCGGATTGCTCAAGGTCAGGAGTTCAAAAACCAGCCTGAGCAAGAGCGAGACCCCGTCTCTACTATAAATAGAAAGAAATTAATTGGCCAACTGATATATATATATAAAATTAGCCGGGCATGGTGGCGCATGCCTGTAGTCCCAGCTACTCGGGAGGCTGAGGCAGAAGGATCACTCAAGCCCAGGAGATTGAGGTTGCTGTGAGCTAGGCTGATGCCACGGCACTCACTCTAGCCTGGACAACAAAGTGAGACTCTGTCTCAAAAAAAAAAAAAAAAACGGGGGGGAAAACAAGGTAGTATTGTTTCCCAGAGAGAAAAAGTTTCAAGAAGGCTTCACTCAAATTTACCCAGCCCTTCAAAGCAGAGCTGACTTCTCTGTTAGGCTGAACAGGCACGGTTCCCAGAGCCACGATGCTACAGGGACCTGTGAAAATGTTTTACTATATTTTAAAATAAGAATTTTAAAAATGAATACAATCCAGACTTGGTTATACTTATCTTTATACCAATACAGTTGTAAAGTGTATATATATATATATATATATGAAGAATGTCACCCCCCAAGACAAAGTGCCTCAGATGTCCGAAAGTCACAGGTGGCCCTATTTCTGGGAGATCTGGCTGACGAAACCTGCATCATGATGGGTGATCTTTATTTGGCAGTTCTGGTCGCTGAGAGGAGGGAAGGCAGAGAGCAGGAGGGTGAGGAGGGGAAGGACTGAAGGTGAGGACCTGGTGGCACCTGAGGCCACCGGACGAGAGAGTTTGGATTCCACGGCCTGAGCAGCAGGACTGTGCGTGCAGCTGAGACCTCAGTCTGTTTGAAGGCAGAGAGGAAAGGGCCAGGGGGAATAGAGAGGCCGGCAGTCAGGGGTGACTGGGGGAGAGTGGGGCAGAGCTGCTAGCTGAGACAGCGAGCCCTGGGGAAGGTGGAAATGACGTGTGCGTTTGAGCAGGTGTCCAGAAGGAAGGATGTAATAATGGTGGGATTTCAAGCTTGCGGCGGGCAGGTGGGAAAGACCACGTGCAGGGAGACCAGGTTCACGTCTGCTTCCATCAAGCTGACCCTCACCTCTTAACGTTCCTACTAGGAAGCAAGGGCACGTTCATTGGGTGTGGTGTTTATTTATGGGAATAATTGAAAAAACTGATTTTGATCCGCTGAATTCACATGATGCCAAGAAATGTGTGAATTCATTCTCTGGCTTCCTCCGGTTCACAGTGCGTTTTGACCTCACAAACACGAACCCTGAAATTAGGACCCCTGCCTCGTCCACTCTGCTGCGGTCTCCTGCAGATTCTGCGCTGGGGAGGCTTCCTGCGCTCCCATGTGTGATCTGCAGGGCCCACGGCCACGTGAAAATAGGGGGTCCCCTTTTCAACAATTATTAAGAATTGCAAGATGGAGACAGCAGGGCATTAAACCAAGCGTGGGGCCCTCATGAGCACGAGGTCCTGTCGAGCAGCCATTGAGTGTGAGGGTGGTCCCCACAGAGGGCGTTCCAGCAAACCTCAGGCAGTGGGCAGGCTGGGGCAAGGTGGGCGGGCCAGGCCTCACTCCAGCCAGAGGCAGCCAAACCCAGAGGAGGCCTGGCCCTGCCTCCTGCTTCAGCCAGTTCCTCCACCCCCGGCTCCCCAAGCGCTGCTTTTCAGGACGAGCTGGTTTGGTCTTGGGTGACATCAGAGAGACACAGCAGGAAAGGTGTACAGTGGGTGGGGATGGGCAGAACATCCCTGAGAAGCACCGGGGAATACAGGGGCACCGGGGCCCTTCTGACAACCCCTGCCGGAACGTGCCTCTTCCTGGACCCACATAGGGCTGGGTGCATAGACTCGAGGTGCAGAAATCAGAGACAAACTGAATGTGCTGGTTTAGAGAGGCGGTAGGATCACAAGCTTTGGAGTCAGATTAGCTGGGTTCCGTCCCAGCCCTGCTGTTCATTAGCTGTGGGGTCTGGGGCAAGTTTCTCACCTCTCTAGGTCTCCACTTCCTCGTCTATAGAATGATGATAGAATGAAACCTACTGCAAGAGGTTGTGGTGAGGAATATGTGAGTTATTCTATATAAAGTGTATGATAAGTGCTCAAGAAATGTTGGTTATAACTATTACTTAAAATCTGGGACTAGCCTTAGCCCAGGAGGTGCTCAATTATACGAGCCAATTTCAAGAATATTCCTATTCAGAATATATTTTACTCCCTTGTCTCTTGCCCAGTGCCAGCTAAGAGACAATTAGTCTTTTGTTCTAGAGTTTGTGACTACTCTTCATTACTGAGCCTTTGTTGTGTATTAGGGCCTGTGCCAATCATAGCACGTATATTGTTTCATTTAAACCTTACAACTCCATCTACAGGGCCTGGCACATTGTTCAATAAATGTCAGTAGATTAAATGAACAGTCAGGTAGGTATTATTATCCCCATTTTACGGTTTATAGAGTTTAAATAACTTGTTCAAGGTTACAGAGCTATCAAATGGCTGAGCAGAACTTCAACCTGGGTGGGTCTGTTTTCAAAGCCATGGGTCTTACTACATGATGCAGCCTTTGATGTGGTGGAGAGCTAAGACTTAGGGAATAAATACTCTTGCCTGGAAGAGGGAAGCCATGAGCTTGGAGCCACAGTAAATTGAAACAGGTAGCGTGCCCTTTTTCAATATTAAGCATTGATAGAGGAAAGAGAAGATATTGGAACTGAGTGTCCTAAAATGGGAAAAGCACACCAACTCTTTTTTTCATTTCATCAAGGAATTGAGTGGAAGAAAGGGCAAAGAAGCAAAAGCTGGAAGTATTAATAATAAACTTGACCTCTTTGGGGTATGTTTAGTTAAGAGCACAATCTCTGGAGTCAGGCATATCTGGATTTGAATTCTACCTCAGTCACTTGCGAGCTGTGTGACCTTCGACAAGTTACTTAACCTTTTCAAGTATCAGTTTCCTCGTCTGTAAAACAGAGTTCCTCTGACCGTAGGGTTATTGTATCGGGAGATGAGATAATGTATGTAAGTCATTTCACACAACACCCAGCACATAGTCATTGCTCAAAAAATATATGTTACTACTAGTAGTAGTTCATTCTCTTTCCCCATTCTAGAATCAAAGTTTGACCAAATAAGAGGGAGAAACTGATCCCAAGAGCCTTGACGTGTCAGGATGGTTTTAAAAGCTGTGGAGTTGGCCACAAAGTCATAAACCAGATGCTTATAGCTCTATCTACAATTGAGATTTTTGTGCCAAACACGGTTCTATTTGGAGGCAACCTCAGTACAGGTTAGACCAGATAGTAGACATTCTTTAGATCTGTTCAGAGGCCAAGTTAAATGACACTTTCCCTTTTTTGGTCTTTATCCAAATAACTTATTAATAATTCTAACCCTCTTATCCTAATCATATGCAAAGCTCAAGGCAATCAAATATAACTTACTATTGAATCATTTAGAACTTTGGAACATTTTTTTGGCATCGCTTTGATTGAGGTTTTAGATGCTCCCAACTGTACCCCACCCCACTACCATCAACACATACACACACACACACACACATGCTCATACACACACACACCCTACAACCCTTGCCAAACGACATAGTCAGAGAATGCAAATATAGCTGACTACAAGCAGATGGAATCACTACCTAACTCCACTCCTTGCAGCTTGGGAAGATAAACATTTCCCAGTGTGAGCCATCTGGAAAGAAACCCAGAAAAGAAAACAGGTCCGGGCAGAATGGATTCACAGTTTCTATTGGAATGATGCTTTGGACACGTCA